GAACACCCACCAATGGCTGAATGAATCAATAAATTGTCGAATATGTCTGTAATGAAATATAGCTGTGAGAAGGAATAGTTGCCACAAAAATCATGGACAAATCTCATGACTCTGATGTTGAGGGAAAGAAACCAGAGTCAAAGAATACATACAATGTGATTCCATTTACCTAAAGTGGAAAAAGAAGTAAAATGAGTCGCCGATGTCAGAAGTTAGGATAGTGGTTCCCCTGGGTGGTAGAGAACATGAGGGAGGGGGGCTTCTCGTATGTATGTTATATCTCAAACTCAAATGTGAAAAACAGGAGGAAGGACATGCTCTCGAAGCAAAGGATAGTTCTTTAAATAACTCATTTAACTTTCTAAAAGGTTTTATGAAAAACTTTAATTTTTAAAATTAAATGAAGTTTAATAAACAGGAGACTTTTAATTTCTCCTTCTTTAATCTCATGTAAATTGCGTATGGCAAGGTGCTGGGGCTACGACTATGTCCGTGGGAGAAAGAAGCAGGGGCGACGTGGTCAGCAGCAACTGAAACTGGGGGAAAGAGGCCAGCCCTCCAAGGAAGGTACTTCTCCGAGGCTCCTTGCTGCCAACTGTATTGTGTGCACGGTGCCAAGCGCATCTCTAGAAAGATCTTTCCCAAACTTCTGCAGGTCACGGCACGTGTAGAAAACGGCAACATTGGAATGGCATACTGGCGTATCCCATGGGGCTCCTGGCAGCCAAAGCCAACTGGCTGGGTCCTCCGGGTGCCCCCAAGCTGAGTGGTCTCATTTCCTCAGCACACTTGTGGGAAAACACCCACTTACAGAGTGTGGGAAAACATGAACCTCCATAACACATTGTAAGTTCTCCTGCTCTTCTGCTCCAGGAACATCCAGCTCTATGGGCCCTTCATTTCTGGATTACAGGTCCCATTTGCAGTAATGAAGATCACGGGGTCCAGGGGTTGATGTAGCATTCCTGGTCTCTCCTTTCTGCCACGGTCTCATTTCTGCTTCCAGCCTCATTTCCCAAGACACCCTCACCCCCTTCCCACTACTCTCCCCCACCCTATACCCTAAACACATGATATCCTGGGCACGCTGTTCTTGGCCGTCATCTAGAAAAAGAAACCTCGCCCAAGACCCCCAAGCTCCCAGGTCCTCCTCTTTCTCCATCATCTCTCTGCTCAGACGTTCCCTTCTCTATGATGCCTCTTTCTATACACCACCCAAGGCCACCACCTCACTTTGATTTGCGTTACTGGTAGGTGTGTGTATTCATGAATTATCTTGCCCATAGGAGGTGCTCAACAACTGTTTCTCGAATGACTTCTAGGCTGCAGAGAGACCGTGACACTAACTCCACCCTACCCCTATTCTGGATGGTCACTCATTATCCCCTTGAGTCAGAACCCCCACGTTCCTAGGGTACCCATCTTGTGGCCACTCCACACTCTGCCATTGCCCTGCCCTGGGAGCCATGCAGCCTGGTTGAGAGACATTACGGCCCCCCCCCCCGCACCTCCCCAACTCTGGGATTGGCATTAGGCTAATTGTGATGTGACAAAGGGAAGGGGTGACTGCCCCTTAGCCTCAGTCCTGGCTCCCACCATTCAAGCAATAGCCCGTAGTACCAGGATGTGGCCACAAGGGGCTCTACTGGGCGACTCTTACCTGTACTACAGTGGAGGAGGGTTTGTGGGAATCCGTCTTGCCCAGATGCACAAGGAAGAGCTCAAGGAGCTGTCGTTTCCTGTCCAGTTCCCTTTGGCTCCCTTATCCTGATGTTTTACCCCTTGGCCACCTAGAAGCTGTTTTATATCTTAAGACATTCCTCCTTGCTTCTTGCTATCCCCTTTACACCAACAGTCACCGCGGGGAAGGGCACTTCCCTTTTTGTCTGTTCTCCCTCCTCTAGATGAGTGCTGAACCTACGCCACGAGCTCCCTGTCCCTCCAGGCTGTGGGATGGAAAATTGTCCTGTGCCATCTTTTCAACACCTCCTGACTCTGCCCCCCTTCTGTTTCCCCAACGCCACCCAGGATTAGGTTTCTTCATCTCTGGCCAGGATTAATACAATCCTGGCTTCCTGGAGGATCGCCTGTCTCCAGACAGCCCCCTGGCCGCCAGCTGTCCACCCTGGCTTTCAATGGCTCCCCAAGGCCCAGACATTCACACAGCAGCCCAGGTGCCCAAAGATCCAGCTGCCTGATTCTCCAGCTTCACGCCCCTTTTCTCCTCTTGGGCTCCAACCAGCAGTACTGAAACGCCTGTTAATGCTCAACACATGTGATATTTCAAGGTTTCGTACTTTGCACACATTCTTTTCTGTGACCTGCACCTGTCCATGCTGTGCCCTAGCGCCCCATACTTCCTCCGCCTGGCAGAGCCCTAGTCACCCTTAAAGCTGCTGATTCCTCTGTGAACCCTTCCCCGACCTCAGACTCCTTCCCATGCCCAGGAACCCCTCCTCGGAATGGATCTTGTGCGCTGAACACACGTCTCTCCTCGAATCTGCCATTTAGAGTTGGGGTGACTACTCAAGCCTGTCCTGTTTTCCCCATCGACGCCACAGCTCCCCGCGGGAGGCCGGGCTAGCACTCAGTGGGTGATACCTGGGAGGTGTTGCCTCACCCCTCTCTGAACCATCACCTCCACCTTGACCAAGTCCTTTAAATGCTCCGAACTCCCCTTTGCTGCTCTGCCAAACGGAGACCTGGGACAATCAGAAGAACTTTAAATCATTAATGAACTTTAAGGGGCTAAGTGCTGTTCAACAGCCAAATGCTATGCAGATGTCTTTATTCCAGACTCGCATTTACCTGCACTTGCCTGGGTGGAAATCAGAGGGTCAAAGGAATGGGATGTGCTCTTTTTGTAACTTCGCTGCCTTGAGTCCAGGGAAAAGCTGGTTACGAGTCAACTATTATTTCTGTCTCCCCATAGCAATGACTCTTCTCTGAAGCTCTGGGTTAATGATTCTTTTTTTTTTTTAAGATTTTATTTATTTATTTGCCAGAGAGAGAGATCGCAAGTAGGCAGAGAGGCAGGCAGAGAGAGAGGAGGAAGCAGGCTCCCTGCCTAGCAGAGAGAGCCCGATGCAGGTCTCGATCCCAGGACCCTGGGATCATGACCTGAGCTGAAGGCAGAGGCTTTAACCCACTGAGCCACCCAGGCACCCCTGGGTTAATGATTCTGAGGTTGTTTTCCTCGCGGGGCCAAACCGTATCTAATCTGTGGCATGTTCTATTCTTGAAGAATAACTTGACTCACTCCAATAATTCTCCATTCTGGGGTTGTGAACCTTGTTTGGCCCGAGGAAACGGGGACTGTGTGGGGGTCCCTGGCTCCTTTCCTTCCTCATCTGCGCCCCCACCCCATGGCCACCACCACCTTCCCTTTACAAAGAGAAGAGACTCCTCTCCTCCCCCACTGAAGGGCCAAGCACTTATGCTGGGACCTAACAAATAATCTCCCTCTCGTGAAGTTGAAGGATTTGTTTTCTGAACTCTGAAGGGGAGACTTGGGAAGGAGAAACCCCTTTAAATTGTTTCTCCGTACCAAAGTTTAGTTAGTGGCGGTGGGAGGAATGGATTGTAGGGAGATTCCCGACTGGTCCCTGGAATCCCAGGCCGTTTATGGCTGCAGTGCAGGTCACACGGAGACTGGGGATGGAAGTCTGGGAGCCAGACACCGCTCAAGGGTGGTCTGGGCACTCTTGAGATAAGACCAGCTGACGGCTGTGAACTCCCTGAAATTCAAAAACCAGCTCACAGAGGCTCACTACCAGGAGTCCCCCAGCTCCCATCCCTCCCTCCCCTTAATCTAGTACATTTGGTGCAGAGTTTTGGAACACAGCGGTGGAAATGCTTTGCATAAAGGAGTGGGTCACTGTTCTGCAAAGGTTCCACTGTGCCATAGGAACAAGTTCACTTTTCTGAGCCTCAGTGCTCCTATCTGTAAAATAGAGATTACATTTACCGTAGGTAAATTATGCCAAGAACCCCAGAAGACAAACACTTTCGTGCGTACATAAGAGTGAAAACGTAAGGGAAGGCGTTGGTATGTCTGGAGCTGTAATTTCATCATAACTGCCCGGCATTTCTCGGACCATTCAGACTGCAGAGATCTGATTGCCGAACAGAACATTTCCAACAGCACTGAAAGGCCGGTCTTCGCCTCATGATCTTGTCTTGCCTTTTCACACTGTCCTGAGTTTTGTGTGTACTGTTCCCTTGTGTTTTGTCCCACGTGTGCTTTTAAAATTTTTTTTTACCACATGTACTTTCGATCTTGTTTTGGAAGTATTCTACAGGTGGAATAGGTGACATCCACAGAATAGGTGTTTATGGTAGGCCGGGTATGCAGCTGCGAACTGTTGCATGTTTTATCTCTGTCACATCCCACTCTATTGTCAGTTGTGCTGATGGTGATTTGGGCTGCTTGCGGTGTTTTGCTACTGTTTGCTGTAAACGTTCTCACTGCCTTAGCAAGTTCTTTCCTTGGTATATACCCTGGGTATAGACAGGGTCTCAGTCTAGCTGAGAATATTGCCAGCAGAGGCTGCTGCTCCCCTCTTCCCTCCACTGAATAGCCTGTAGAGATGGGGAGTGCCCCCCATTCTTTCTTTGTCCCTGTTCTTTGTCTATGGACCTTCAGGGGTTAGGAACTTTATAAAACTAGAGAAATGGGGGAGGTGGAGCTTTCTGGGCCATAGTTTGACTTTCAGCTGTGGCCCGGAGAAACAAGCCAGACAGGCCTTGAGGCAGGGTGCTTTGGCTCTGAGCACGGGTGTGAGGTGGGGGCGGTCCTCGACTGGACCCTTGGGTCTTAGGTGGCAGCCCCCCTGTGAGGTCACTACTGGGCTGCAGGACCTAGAAATTCAAACAGAATGCAGCATGCCATTCTCTGATTATATATATATATATATTTTATTAGTTCAATTGGTAGGGCTACAATGGAGTCTCCCGGGAGAGGTCCCCCAGCTGCCCAATATCTGGGTCCTAGGAAGTTTTCACTGTCTCCATGACCTCAGACGTCCCGCTCCCCGCGCGCTCCAAAAGCCGTGGCTGCTCGCCGCCGCCTCGGCGATGGCCTCCACACCGCTCCTGTCCGCGGTCTTCGCCAACATGTCCACGTCTCTGCGGCGCGGCCAGGCCGCGCTTCAGGCAGTGAGGCTGGCTCTCAGGTTCCTCAGGAACCCGCGGATCCTGCCGAGCATCGTGGTGCCGGAGCCCGCGCTGCCCGCCGAGAGGCTCCGCCCCGACCTGTGGGAGGTCCCGGACTCCTCGGCGACGGGGGCGTGGCTGATGCGTCCGTCGGGGGCGCGCCTGCCGCGCGCGGGGCTGCTGCGGCCCTTGTCCTTCTTGTCCTCCCGCGCGGCTCTGTGGCCGCCTGAGGAGCGGCTGGAGCCGGTCGGGGTGATCTTGTTCCCCGGGGCCTTGTGGCGGTTCTCGGCGTCCATGCGGTGGCGGGAACTGCGGGGGGCTCGCTCCTCCTCCCGGCGCTCCCTCCGCTCCCTCCGGCGCTTGCGGGGCCGCCTTGCCGCCGGCTCCCCACTGCCCGCCGAGCTCGGCGCGTCCGAGAGGAGCTGGCCTTCCGACCCGTCCGGAGCGGCTTCTCCCGCAGGCTTGGCGGCAGCTCGGGGCCCGGCGGACGCCAGGCATATGCCGGCCTCCCCCGCTGCGAACTCTGCTGCTGTCCCTGCCGCCGACTCCCTGTAGAGCCCCGGGCAGTTTGGGGCAGCTACAGTGGGCACGCTGTTGGGCTTCGGGGGGTCCTGAAAGGTCTCCTCCCCGCCAGCAAAAGCTGCGGAGGTGGCCCCGGCCACCTCAGAGCCCTCGTGGAGGCTCCTGACACTGACCTGGTCCTGATCCGCTTTTCCTTGGAAATCTGCCCCTGCTGGGTTCCTTCGGTCCTCTTCAATCACGGGCATGGCTAACATGTCCTCCGCTGGAATGGCGTCGGTTCTGCTGGGACTGTCCACGGGCGGCCGCAGGAGGGAAATGAGCTTTTCCCAGCAGGAGAAGAGGTCTTCCTCTGCATCCAGAGGGGGGCTCAGCTGCAGGTAGCAGGAGCGGCCAGTGGGGAACTTGAGGCGCAGCCTTTGTTTCTCACGGTCTTGAACGTATATCCGCACCAACTTCAAGGGAAGGAGCCTGGTGAGCTCCATGGTCGTGGAAGCCTTGCGGCCTTTTCCCTTGGTGGCCTGGCCCTGGTCGGAGTACTCTTCACAGCCGGTGGCGGGGCGGGCCAGCAGCAGGACATCTGGGAGCGGGAGGAAGGGGCTGGTGGATGTGATGCCCACCGTCACCATTCTAACTCTGTTGTCCACGTGGACGACTTCTCCCCTTTTTGTGACCTGCACAAAGTCACATTCGAACATGGGTGCATCCTTGAATAGGTCATATTCTCCCTTGCACAGTTGTCGCTGGAGTTTCCCCATGGCCGGGTTGAACTTACCCTCCCTGGAGGCGCTGTGGGCTGTGTGATAGTGCGGCAGAGACTCCATCTTCGTTAGTTTGTATCACAGTCGGGCAGGCGAGGGGTGGGCGTTAGTCTGGGGGCTGGTCGCTGGAGCTTCTCCTCCTTGACCTCTGTTGGGTTGGCAGAGCGTGCAGCCCCCCCTCCTGTGGCTCGCGGCTGGCTCTGTGGCAGGGGTCCCAAACCCACCCTGCGCCCCACAGTCCCCCACTTTGTCTCAGAACCTCCCAAGATAGCGGTCAGGGTGGGGGGCTCTGAGGGTGACCGAGGGGATGCTGATGGGTGCCTGGACCTCAGATGGAAGCTCTGCAAGGGTATAAAGGTCTATGGTGGCTCCTCCACCTCCCCTCTGTCCCTTACTTTTTTATGTTATGCAAACTGCAGTCCTGGTGAGAGACTAAGCACTCTCTCAGCCTACACCGCTGCGCGGCCCTATTTATCCTCTGCTGCCCTTGGTGACCAGTCACTGTGTCACACACCCCTTTGTGACACCCCCTCAGGGCAGGGCCATCATCCTCCCCCCAAATGCCCCATTGCCCCCACAGAGGACAGGCCCACCCTGCCAGGGACCCAGGCGGGTATCTGAAATAAAAATGTCTTCAAGTGGAACAATTTTGTGTGAGGAATTTTTTTTCCCTCCCCCAAATGCGGAAGATTCAGCAACTGGACAAAATCTATAGGAATTACTATAAGACGATGTGATATGTTTGAACCATTTGAGCTCTTGGTTTCGCTTTATCCAAGAACCCAGAATTGGCAGTCTTGATCCTTAACCTGTTCCTTCATAAGATTGCAGTAGACATGGCTGCTAACCCTGGGAAGCTCAGTGGGTTAAAGCCTCTGCCTTGGGCTCAGGTCATGATTCCTAGAGTCCTGGGATCCAGCCCCGCATCGGGCTCTCTGCTCCGAAGGGAGCCTGCTTTCCCCTCTCTCTCTGCCTGCCTCTCTGCCTACCTGTGATCTCTGTCTGTCAAATAAATAAAATCTTAAAAAAAAAAAAAAGACAAAAAAAACCTGGCCCCCCAAGTACCAGGCCGTGTTCTCCACATACGACCATGAGAATCCATCAGGTCTGGTACTGTTCCTACTGCCCCGTTTTATGAACAGACTGAGGTGACATCATCGGCCTAAGTTCGCAGAACTAATGGTCCTAGAGGCCATGTTCACGGGCAGGTCTACCGGATTCTAAAGCCTTGTTGGGAACCACCATAGTACTTTGCTCCACAAAGCTTGGGCCAGCCACAGGTTTTACACCGGACTGATTTAAGACCTTCCTGCGGCACTGCCGGAAGTTGCATGACTCCCTGCGTGTGTACGTGTTATGGAGAGAACCTAAGACGCTACTTCAGACAGCGGCTGGGCTGAATTGGGAATTACATTTTACAGGGGGCATCTTGGTTCCTCCCCTCGCTTATGCTTCCACAAGCAGCCCATCTGTGGAAACCTGGTTATTGTCTCCTAAGACCCACCCCCCAACCCAGGTTTTCGGCCCTTCTCCTCCAGTGAAATGAAGCGGGGGGGGGGGGGGGGGGAGTGCTGAGATGTCCTCCTCGATTCCAAGAGCTTGCCAAGCAGCCTCCTGGGGCAACAGGAGTGCTTTGGAAGCAGCAACACCTGTGGGGAGCAAGTACCCTTGTCCTTCCTGCCTTCCTGCCCCTCCCACACAGCTCGCCACAGAGTATGTGATTTCTAAACTGTTGCTTGAAAGTTCCAGAAGGATTATCTGCTCCCAACTCTCATATCTCCCGGTTTGAGGTTATGCCTGAAATCCGACTTTTGGGATTCATTCCTTGAAATTACAGGCCTTTCTGTTAAAACGCACACACATGTTCATCCACAGGTGAAAGGACAAATAAAAGGTGGTCTATCCATACAGTGGGATGTTAATTCAGCTGTAAAAAGAAATGAGGTACTGCTACGTGCTACAACGGGGATGAATCCGGAAAATAGGATGCTAAGTGCAGGAAGCCAGAGGCAAAACGGCCACACACTGTATGATTTCATTTAGACGAAATGTTCCAGAAGAGGCAGATCCATAGATATATTAGAGGTTGACTGGGGCTGGAGGGAGGGGAGTGTAGGGAGCGACTGCTTAATGAACAGGACCAGGATTTACTTTGTGGGGATGAAAATTCTGGAACTAGATAGTGGGGATGGTCTCAGAGCATTGTGGATGTACTGAGTTCCACTCTCTCTAGAATGGGTACGATGGTAAACTTTATGTTGTAGTTTCTCTCTCTCTTACACAATGCACATATACATTCCTGCTTGGAACCCTTTAGAGAGGTCAGTGGCGTGACTCAGCTTTCCATTTCCTCATCTATAAAATGGGGTAAGAGTTGCCGTGAGGATTCAACGAGATAATGCACGTGAAGTGTTGAGCGAATCGTGGAGCTCAAGAAATCTTGGCTGCTGTAATCATTCATCCTCCACTGACCCTTCAAGCGTCGGTGCAGATTCCTTCCTGAGAGCAGTTTTTGAGAAGACAAACTGAGAAGCTTCTGGGGTTAGAGCTACTATGAGGACACAGAAGGATGCTCAGTGGGCAAAACTGGCTTCTTCTGAGTCCCGGCTTCAGGCAGATCCATGAACACACAGAGAAACTGGGCGCAACCAGAGTATGGGATGCAAGGAGAGGAAAGGCTTAATATGGGTTTGGGTTTCAAGGGTTTGTTCCAAGCCCATGGGGAGAA